GGTGGCTTTAAGGCAGGGGGTTAGGCCCACAGCAGCAATTAACAAGTCATCTACATATTGCAGAAGGAATACCTTGTCCTCATTGTCTTACTCGGCCAGGTCTCTGGCCAGGGCCTGGCCAAAAAGGGTGGGGGAATTTTTAAATCCCTGGGCCAACACTGTCCAGCAAAGCTGTTTCTTAACCCTGTTTGTGTCTTCCCACTCGAAAGCGAAAATCTCCTGAGAAGGAGCATCAACCGGAATCATGAAGAAAGCATTTTTCAAATCGAGAACCGAAAAGTGGGTATTCTGTCCTCCTATGGAGGCCAACAGTATGCACGGGTTTGGGACAAGGGGGGGTGCAGCGTCTTAACCCGTTCATTAACCGCCCTTAAGTCCTGGACTAGTCGATATGTGCCATCCGGCTTCCGGACAGGCAAGATGGGGGTGTTCCAGGCTGACTGACATTCCCGAAGTGTACCGCAGCTTAAGAACCGGTCTATAGTCTCCTGTAACACTTCTCCGGCTTCCCCCTTCATAAATTACAACAATCGCTTCATTCCTTCTACACTTCCACAGAGTCCATTCACCTTCACATACCCTCAAATCACTTGCTTCGTCTTTCCAAAGAAAACGTTTCTCATTCCTATAACCTTCCCCTAGCACCAGCCTGTACTGCAGCTACCATCATTTCACTTGCTTCTTTTCCTTCTCCCCCTCTCTCAGGGAATAAGCCCTATTTGCAGTTTCCAGAATCTGTGCTATGTCTGTGCCCATTAAGTCCTCCTTTTTCTGTAATTTCCTTTTAATATCAGGGGCTGCACAGCTGGTAAAGATCCCCTTTATAATTGCCTCAGTTGCCTGGTCATCGGGATTTGTGTTAGTATTTTGCCGGATGGCGTCCCGAATCCGCTGCAAAAAGGCAACCGGACTTTCCTTTGGTTCCTTTATTAACTCATATGGTTTTGCCCAGTTATGTCGGACAGCCGAGTGCCGGAGACCATGTAAAAGCAACTCCTTGTAGGAGGTGAGACGGGTGTACTGCAAGGGGTCATTAGGATTCCACCTAGTCCACTTAGGATCTGCTAGGGGAACCATGTCTGCAGGCTCAGGGAGGTTTTGTGGATCCCTTTCATGTCTCCGCTGTGCCTCCTCCCTTGCTTTGGCTATAACCTGATTCCGCTCCACCTCAGACAATAGGGTCCTCATGAGGATATTACAGTCATCCCAGTCAGGCTTGTGGCTAGCCAGACACCCCTCGAACACTGAGATAAACCGGCTTGGGTTCGTGGAGAATTCTCCAGCTTGTACTTTAAAGGCTGCTAGGACCACTGGGTTAAAAGGCACATGGGTGTAAACTTGCATAGTAGTGGCCTGGCGCCCCTCGGCTCCTTGGCGGGGCTCCGAATCTGCCATTACAGCTGTAGGAGAGCTCGGGGGGCTCACATTAGTTACTACTGCACCCGACGGAGTTAAATTACACTGTTGCAAAATATCTGTTCTATTTCTTAAAGCCATAAACAACTGCGCATATAAATGTTCATGCCATTTACCCGTTCGCTGACAAAACAGGAGTAATTGGAGGATCGTGTTATAATTGATTGATCCTTCCGGTGGCCACCTTTCCTGGTCCTCTAGCTGATATTGAGGCCAGTCTACTGTACAGAACCTTTTCAGTTTACTTTTAGTCATGGGATCTGATCCAAACACTTTCCAGTTCACTAGAATGCATTCTAAAGGTGTACACCATGCCCTGCCTGTCGCCTGCCCCATAACCTCAGGAGACACTGGGCATCCCCAGGTCTTAACAGGCGAAAGTCCACCCCACTGGACTGTTCCTATCTTATCCATGGGACCGGTTCCACACCGTCGCCCGCAACTGCTTCTCCACTATTTGAGCGCGTTGCACCGTTGTGCCCTCCGGGGTCGATCAAACTGTGTCTTCGCCGAGGCCCCCGATAAAGTCATCGGTGCGCGCTGGGCGTCGGTTGTTGCCGCAATCCATCGACCACCGGGAGGGGTCTGGGCAAGGCTAAATTTCAGCCTTGAGCCCCACATTGGGCGCCAAGAACTGTTGCTGGCACAGAGTGCCCGAGGGAGGCAACAGCTGGGTTCGGTGCCCAGTGTGCACGCTCCAATAAACACACCGGTTTGGAGAAGCGAAAAAAGTTTATTTGAACGCTCAAATAGGTGCCAGGAGACTGGACATCTCAGATCATCGGCAGTTTTTCCTCCTTATATACCCAGGTTGTTTACTTGCAGGAAAATAGTGAACTGTAGCAAGATTTCCACACTGGGATATGTTGCCAGCCCTATCCTCCTCCTCCCCTCTACAGAGACACATCTGAATTCTATACCACTGATAGTAACTAGGCAACCTCAAGGTCTGTCTTGCTGTTCCCAGCTATTAGCGAGCCAGAGAAAAGTTATGCCTGGGGGGGAGGGGAAGAGGTGGTGGGGTGGGAGTGCTTTTAGGGTGCTTGGGCTTAGAGCGGGGCACTTCATTGATTCTTTTGATCTTCCACTCCTCCGAGTTAAAGGGGAGGGAAGGGGGTGCTTTTAGAGTGCTTGGGCCTAGAGCGGGGGCGCTTCATTGATTCTTTTGATCTTCCACTCCTCCGAGTAACCTAGGATCATGCCCAGTGACCCCAACACTGGTCCTCTAAAAGTTTATGAATGGGTTTTCCAGTCTGCAGTATAAAAAAGGTTGGGAGCCACTGTTGTAAATGAAGCACAATAATAGCATCTGGTAGACACTAAGAGGATGTATGCCTGCGATAATGGACACAGCTCAGGCAGTGGTAGGACTTTCCACTGTCCCCTTGGCTGGACAAAGACTTCTCTTTATACATAGATACAAAGAAGTTATGCATCACTCCTTATGTATCAGGTGCAAGCCTCAGACATACCTGGAAGCCACCTCGTACATGTTGGTTCAATCAAAACATCCCTATCCATCATGCTGTCATTGCTAGAATGCATCAGTACATTTTTGTTTACCTATGGAGAATGTGCTGGTGTCGAGTTTTTCTGGTAATATCCTAGAATGTGTTTACATGATTTTTGCCTGATACCTCATAGTTGTGTTTCTGCAATATCAGCCCTATTTTTGCCAGATTCTGTGAACAGGTCCTGGCACTTGCTCACAGCTCCACTTCGCTTCATACTAGCAAAGTCTTGACTATTACTTTAATCCAGGCCTTAGGCCTCATACCAGGCCTCTGATATACAGCCTTATATTTTAGGCTCTCTTCCTACTACATGTCCCTCTGATATAGTAGGACAAAGAGACAAAGGAGAATTTATGGTTGTGTATTGTTGAGAGCATTTGGATATGGAGGCTGCCATTGACATATGCAGTCTAAAGATAATGGCATTATATCTGGCAAATATAAACATAACATAATGACAATATTTTTATGTATTCATCACATCTCACAATAGGATATATAAGATCTTTCAAAGCATAGTTTAATTAGCATTGATGCAATGGAGATGAATATTATTATATCCATTTTGCAGATGAGATGAGAAAACTGACATATGGAGAGCCAAACAACTTGCTCAAGATCATATAGTTAACTCAGTAGTAGAGTTTGCATGAAACTGTTTTTATTTAAGTTTATGCTCCTCCTACATCACCTGGATGTCTTCTGTGCGGAGTGAAATTTAGTTAATGTAAATTAACTTTTGTATTAAACACATAAAAATAAAGATGGAGATAATGCTGTAATTGAATCATGATATTATGTCTACAGCAGAGGATAGCGCTGCCCATGAAAGATCTGGAACTTTGAAATACTTTTTTTTATTAATGTACATAAGTAAAATCAAAACAAGATTGCAACATAATAGTTTGTGTTTAAAGACATGTGGCCAGGTCCTCAGGTGGTGTAATCAACATTGTCATCGATGGAGCAATGCCATTTTACACAAACAGAAATGTTTTTGGTTCTCAGAGCCTAGTCCAACTGCAATTAAAGTCTATTGGAAGTTGCAGGGGGAGCTGAATCAGACTTATAAACCCCAGACAGTCAATGTGAATTTATATTAATTAACTGTTATTGGACTACATTTTCAAAGGCAACTGGTATAGTGGTAGCTGTGTTGGTCCCTGAATATTAGTGAGACAAGATGGGAGAAGTAATATTTTTTTATAGGAACAACTACTATTGGCACACGATACAAGGTTTCAAGATACACATAGGTCTTTTTGTGTTGGGTAGGTGTCAGATGCCAGACTCCACCCTGAACAGGGGCATCCATCTCACTGTTTTTAGCTCTGTAATGCAAGCCTTATGAGCCCAGGTCAACAGACTCTGGGTACGTCTACACTAGCCCCCTAGTTTGAACTAGAGAGGCTAATGAGGGTGACCGAAATTGCTAATGAAGCGCGGGATTTATATATTCCGCGCTTGATTTGCATATTCCCGGCCAGTCACCATTTTGAAAACTGACTAGTCTGAAGTAACTGCCCGTGTCTACACGGAGCAGAGACGCGCGATTCCGAGATAAACCCCTTAGTTCGAATTAACAGTTAAACCGCATTCTATTAGCAATTTCGATCGCCTTCATTAGCCTCCCTAGTTCGAACTAGGGGGCTAGTGTAGATGTACCCAGAGTCTGTTGACCTGGCTAGTGTAGACGTATCCTCTGAGACTCACTTTTTTCAGACTATTTTTCAGTATAGACATAATTTAAGAGACAATGCCTGAGCTATTAGCTGGGAATATGCTACTTCCAGGCTTCATACAAAGTTATTAGACTTTTATTTCAAACACTAGGAGCCAAAAGATCTTAAGGACACTAAACTGTTAATTTCATTCTCTGGAGAGAGAGGGAAGGCAGCTATTAGGGGATGGATAGATTGATTCTGCTGGCCATTTTCCTCTCTCTCTTCCTCTCTGTGCAGGACTGCTATATTCATGACTTTTCAGGGTGTCTTCATAAAGGACCTGGAAGGATTTATCGTGCAGTTGCTAATGAGGAGTTTCTCTTGGAATGTGTTTTGCCATCCCAAAACCGGACCCACATGTTCAATAACTCATTTCTATATAAAAGTAAAGTGCTTTGGTTTTGGCAACACAAACCTGAAGAACCACTGAAGGCTCTCAACAATGAAACCACTAACCCTACTCAGGAAGGGAATGCCCTTTGGTTCAGACCAATAGGGATTAATGCTGCTGGAATATATATCTGTATGATAAGGTATGTCAGGGTGTCAAGAGGCTTTCTTTGATGTACAGCCATTGATAGCTGAAAATCATGGAATCATGCAGCTAAAGGGCTGCAACGTCAAGAGGTCATCTAATCCATCCCCCTGCATTGAAACATGATTAAGTATACTTAAGCCAGGGATGGGGGGGGGGGAAGAAATGGTGGGTCACTAGTGTTAGACCCCTCTTCCCCCCAGCAGGCTACTAATGCTTTATTTACCTGCGCCTCCATAGGTACAGCTAATTGTAGCTTTCACTGGTCGTGGATTGCCATTCCTGGCCAATGGGAGCTGCAGGAAGCACCATGAATCAGGATACTGCTCCCTCCAGCTCCCATTGGCTGGGAACAGCGATCCACGGCCAACAGGAGCTGAAATCATCCATACTTGTGGAGGTGCAGGTAAATACAGTGGCAGCAGCCTGACAAGGGCTAATCTGGGCAAACTGGATTGTGGGCCTGTATTTACCTATCCTGGACAGAAGTTTGTTTAACCAGTTCTTAAAAACCTAAAGGACACTAAACTCTTCCTTTGTTCTGATATGTTTTCCTTTGACCTTGGTTTCTTTGCTTTGCTGTACAGGGAAGAAATCTCATGCCTCAAAAACATCATAGAGGTTCAAGCAAAGAAGAATGCAAATTGTTCAGATAATGGCAAAAATGAGCTGTCTCTTCCCATTGAAATGGGACATTCAATTTCCTGTCCTGGGATACACTGTTACAGTCATTTACAAAGGTCACCAGTGACATGGTACAAGGTAATGGTCACTTTGTTCCAAGTATGTGCAAAATAAAATAAGTGCAGTTCTAAGCTACATTTGGCCACAACTTATACTGAAGCAAAATAAAATTGTTCGCAATGCACTGAAGGGAATATTTTAGAAGTTTTTAATTAGAGCTGAGGTGAAAATGGATTGTTTTTTAATTTTGTGGAAAATGTCATGATATGCGGGGGAATAAATGTTCCAGAATGGAGCAAAACCAAAAATTCTAAATTTCCCATGAAGTTAAATTAAAACAAAAAATTCAGGTGAATCAAACCATGTTTTTTCAATAAAATTGAAACATTTCATTCTGATTTCAACCCTTTAAAACTTTTGATTTTTTATAAATTAAAATATATAAAGATTTCATTTTGAAAACTTATTTAAAAATGAAATATCAAAATGTTCCATTTTGAAATTGTTTTAACATACCACATTTGTTTTGTAAATTAAATTTCATCAAAGTTCGTGTTTTTCAAAAAGTTTTTATTGAGATTAAAATGGTATTTCTTGAAAAAAAAATTTGCTGAAAAATTTCTGACATGCATTACATATAAAGGCCGTAAAAATTGGCTCCAAACTAAAATTTGTCAGACAAGGAAAGGCTGTTCTTTCTTCTTTTTTTTTACCATTTAAAAGTGATCAGATCTGTATAAAGTTAAAAAAGAACAATAAATGGAAATTACTATTTAAGATATTTCTTTGCATTCAGGTAATCCCAAGTATGAAATTTAGTACATTTTCCTAAACAGAGTTACCTGCTATACAGGAATAACTCTTGATATATTGTACCTAACTATGCATCTGGTGTTACCTATGGGCATGTCTATACATTAGGGCAAAAATCGAGGTAAGCTATGCAACTTGCATAGCTTTTTGCAATAGCTTAAATCGAAATATCTTAATTCGGCTTTTGGCGCTGTCTACACGGTAGTAAGTCAAAGGAAGAACTTTCTTCCTTTGACTTCCCTTATTCCTCATAAATGAGGGTTACAGGAGTCAGAGTAAGAAGTTCTTCAGCTCGCCATTATTTCAAAATAATGGTTTGCAGTGTAGACGCTCTCTTTATTATTTCGGAATAACATCAGTTATTCTGAAACAATGCTGCTGTGTAGACATTGCCCAAATGTTTAACAAAGACTAGAACCATTTCTGTATAAAAAAAAACTTTTGAATTTCCTGTAAAAGATGCACATTTTCTATGACAAATTTTCCTATCTGGTTTCTTTCTGAACCAACTTTGAATTTGCTTGTTCTGTTTATTTAAGGCCTGATCCAAAATCTTCTGAAGTCAATGAGACTCTTTCCATTTACTTTAATGGACCTTTATTGAATTTAGTCATTCTAGAGGATAGATGCAACAAGTAGTCCTGTGGCACCTTATAGACTAAAAGATGTATTGGAGCATAAGCTTTCGTGGGCAAAGACTCACTTCGTCAAATGCATGAAGTGGATCTTTGCCCAAGAACTGGGTCTTTGCCCACGAAAACTTATGCTCCAATACTTCTGTTAGTCTATAAGGTGCCACAGGACTCCTTGTCGCTTTTGCAGATCTAGATTAACACGGCTACCCCTCTGATACTAGAAGATAGATGTGTATTAAGATGCTAAGAATGGCTGAAATTTTTAAAATCATTTAGTGTTGCTCTTAGTGAAAGCAAAAACAATAGCTGTATTGCCAACCCTAAGAATTCAAAAATCATGAATCATACATCAAGAAACAATAAGATTTATTTAAAAATCATAATGTGTAAAGAAAAGTTTTTATTTTATTTGCCTTCTGGTAGCTAACTTTTCAAGTCCCATTTCATTTTATTTGCAGAATTTTCTCTGCAATTATGAATGTTATAAACTAGCTTTAAAAAAAAGAAAGAAAGGTGATATTCTCATGTAATCAATTGCCTTCAGAAGTTAGGGGTTTGCAAAAACAAACATACACAAACCCACCCTAAATCTCATGAGACTCGTGGTATATTAGACACTGCTATTAACTTCAGTGGGAACAGAGCTGGGTCCGCATTCAGCTCTCTTGACAATCATGCTCTAAGATTTTAAAAGAGAATGTAATTAGTAGCAAAGAAAAAAATATCTAGTTCTTTCATTTTTTTTTTCTTTTTGCTAGAATGGAATTCGAGTGACGAGACAGGATTTTAGACCAGGTCTAAAACTTACCAATGATGAAATCCGCCTGGTTCCTATTTATAAGCAAGATGCTGGTATTTATATATGTGATTACATTATATTTGACAACAGCATCCAGTGGATAATGAGACGAGTAATTAGAGTAAAAACCACTGGTAAGTAATGTATGAGCTCAAAATAATAAAATATCTGTAGTAACAGCTTATTTGCTGTTGGTAAATTACCCTAGCCTAAGTCATGATAACTACCTTTTCACTACACATAATAGAGTTTTATACTTTCTTGTATCGCAGCACGGCGGAATACTGTCCACACCCCAAACATCTTGTATCCCAGTGGCATGAAGACCCTTGAAGTAGAACTTGGTAAGTGAGAGCTTTTTAGGGTTTTTCTGGCCTGGAAGGACAGGACAATTTAATGAAGTACTGATATATTACTGGATGATAGAAACCAGTTTTAAGGCACGTATGGATCTTAGATCAAAACCTGAGACAGGGTACTGGCAGTATATGCCTTTGTTGGCATCAAAGGGGGAAAACGCATCTCAATCCAACAACAACCACTCTCTCAGGTGAATTAGGAGAAAGACTTTCCAGTAACTTCTGTAAATGGTGTCTCTGTGTTTGCTTTGGACAGGAAAACCTCTTAAAATGGAATGCAAAGTATTATTTGGCTATGAAAATAATGTTCACTCTGCGATAACTTGGTACAGGGACATCAAAGAAAGTAAAAGCGAGCTATGTCTGCTGAACTCAACAGGGTAAGGAGAGAAAACAACCAAACAGAAAAACTGAGCTTGGTTACTTTGCAAGCAAATGTAGAGTCTTCAGTATTGCCTTTATTTAATATACTGTCTTTTCACCTGGAGAACACTGGAAGTTCATTTACAATGAATCAGAGAAACACTCATACTAATGTGAATGACACATGCACCTTCTTTCTAATATGATATTATACATTAGCACTATACTATGTATGTGTGAACAGGTCTGTGGGTGTGTATACTTGTATACAAATATGTGTGTTAAAAGAACATTAGGGTTATACAGTGAAGCACTCAAAAGTTAGCAAGTATCAGCAACGGGGCCGACAGCCACCATGGGCTCTGGGGCAAGGTATGTATGTGTGTGTGTGTGGGGGGGGGGAGGGGCTCTGCATGCACCTTGAATGAGGTGAGGCCTTAGGTGGAAGGGGCGGGGCTGAGATCAGTCAGCCGTTAGTGCCACCCAGACCGCTCCACATCACACAGGAATTCTGTGGCAGAGGCAGAGAGAAATCCAGTCCCCAATGAATGCATTTAACTGCCTTAACCATCAGACCCTCCTTTCTCTTTGATTGCAGTCCCCCACTTGAGTCACTACATACCTTCAAATTCTGTGACAAATGAAGTAGGAGTCCTACAGACGACAATCTCATTCACTACACCACCCTGGTTAATCCTGTGCACTGAATGAGACAGGATCATGTGGAAAAATGAATATGTGATCATGTCATTAAAGACTGTATCCTAATTCATATTCACAGGGGGGCTGAGTTAAGGTTGCACAGGAGACTTTAATTTGGATATTAACTTTTAAATGCTTGGCTTTTCAATCTTTAATGAAGTGTGTGTGTGTGTGTGTGTGTGATTTCCTAGATTAAAAAAAATGAGAAATCAGAAATCCTACTATATGGCATCATATTGACTCTCTCATGGGACATCAGCCAGGTTGGAATTTTTAGATCCCTCACACACCTCTGCCACTTGAGCTAATGGAATACCTGAATGCAATAGTAGGTTGTCATTGTCTGTGGACCAGTACTAGAGGAGGATGTGCTACATACTTTGCCAGTGGATTTCACAGGAACTTGGTGACAGCAGAAGAATAATGAGACTCAGGAAACCTGGGCTGCATTCCAGGGTTTAGAGGGGACTCTCCGCTTGTTTTCCAAAACACTTAATCCTATCCACTCTATGCCAGCCAGAATGCCCTGGACCCATCTGCTTGTTCCACTTCCTGTATCCTTGCCCAGCCAGTCCTATTTTCCCTCTCTGGGTTCCCCCATCAGATTCTCACTCTCCCCCCCATATTCCAGTCTCTTCCACCCACACATACTTCTAATCATAATCTCCTTGGGTATGTCTACACTACAGCGCTAATTCGAACTAACTTTGTTCGAATTAGTTAATTCGAACTAAGCTAATTCGAACTAACGGATCTAGACTAAAAAACTAGTTCGAATTAGCATTTTGCTAATTCGAACTAGCATGTCCACATTAAGTGGACCCTGAACCGGGGTTAAGGATGGCTGGAAGCAGTGCCGGCAGCGCATCAGAGGAGGACTTAGAGCGTGGAGCTGCTGTCTCAGGCTAGCCGAGGGCTGCGCTTAAAGGGTCCCGACCCCCACCCCGGACAGACAGTTCTCAGGGGTGCCCCGCTTGCAAAGCAGTCCTGGCTTGGAGTGCCCTGAGTGCCCACACTGGGCACATCACAACACTCAGCCATCAGCCCGGCTGCACTTGCCGCAGGCTGCCATCTCGGGAGAGGGGGCAATTGGGGGGCTGCAGGAGAGCTTCCACCCCCAGAAGCCCACAGAGCCAGCCCAGTCCTCCCCATCGGGGGCTCGTACCCCATTCCTCCCTCACCTCCTTCCACTTACCCTTCCCTAGCCCCCCTTCTTATTGATGTACAAAATAAAGGACAATTGTGTTCAAAAATGGAATATGTCTTTATTGAACAAAACTGGGGGAGACTGGGAAAAGGAGGTGGGAGAGGGGAAGAGAGAGGCTGGGAGAGGGGAGGGCAACTAAAATGATCAGGGGTTGGGAACAGGTCCCATATGAAGAGAGGCTAAAGAGACTGGGACTTTTCAGCTTAGAAAAGAGGAGACGGAGGGGGAACAGGATAGAGGTCTCTAAAAGCAGG